CTATGATGTGCCGTGGAGAGTTTCTTTTCTGGTCCTGTCTGTTTGGTGTTCTATATGCTTCTTGTATTTGTATGGGCATGTCTTTCTTTAATTTTGGAAAATTTTCTTCAATGATTCTGTTGAAGATCTGGTCCATGCCATTATCTTGGGATTCTTCTCCTTCCTGTATGCCTATGATTCGTAAGTTTGGTCTTTTCATGGCGTCACAGAATTCCTGCATATTCCATTCTTGTGATTTCTTAAATTTTTGGTGCTCTTTGCTTGAGTGGTCTAGCTCGTCCATTTTATCTTCCAGTCTTAATACTCTGTTTTCCATTTTATTCATCCTATTGGTGAGGCTTCCGCCTATCGTTTCTAATTGGCTTACTGAGTGTTTCACTTCCTTCATTTCAGCCTGAGTATTCTTCAATGTTTCTAATTCTTTTCTGAATTCATTCAGAAGTTTATCCCTATCTTCCTTCAGTTCTTTAGGCATGAAAAGCTAGTTCCTCTAAGCATCTGGTTCTCTCTTTTGATTTTATATTGGAGTGGCCAGATTGCTTTTGTCTTCAGGAGTTCCCACAGAGGCCCTAGTCAGATGAGAATCAGATGCTCTCAGGCTTTCTCCTAAGGTCTGGGTTCCTCCAGGAAATATTTTGGCCTCGGGAATTTGGGGCTTGGACTGGCCTGGGAGCCAGGCCCAGGAAAGATGCTGGTCTAAGTCAGCTGGTGGCCATGCCACCCAGAGATGCAAAGGCAGATGGGGGCATGAAGCAGCCCCAAGAGCTCCTGGGGACTGCACTGATGAGCTGGGTTGGTCTGGATGCAAAGGATCAGGAAGAGGAAAGGTCAGCTCCGCCATCCAGGAAAGAGGCTGGTGGGTGGTGCAGGCCCAGGGAAGTAGAGGGACGTGAGGGCAGGATCAGGCCCAGAGTACTCCTGGGGACCCGAGAAGGCACTGAGTTGGTCTGGATGCAAAGGATCAGGAAGCAGTTGTTGTTCCCCAGGTGTCTGGGGTGCCAAGACAAGGAATGGGACAGGGCCCAGGCTAGAAGGAGAGACCCCGGAGAGAGAAGCCTGTGGGTCGGAGATCGACCATACTCTAGATCTTAAAGAGGAGAAATTAAGGAATACACCTAAAATTAGGAATACAGGAAAGAAATTTTGAACAGGACCTTAGTAGTGTAGACATTAAGACCAACAATTGACAGATGGGACCTCATAAAACTACAAAGCTTCTGAATAGCAAAAGATATAATTATTTGAGTGAAAAGGCAGCCTACAGAGTGGGGAAATATTTTTATTAGGTATACATCTGACAGAGGTTAACTAGAATATACAAAAACTCAGGAAATAAATACCAAGAAAATAACTCAATTAAATATTAGGGCATGGGGGTGATAAGCTAGAGAGATGGCTCAGTGGTTAAGAGCACTCCTGCTCTTGCAGAGGACACAGATTTCAATTCCCAGCAACCACGTGGCAGCTAACAACCATCTGTAACTCCAGTTCCAGGG